GTGGCACAGTGTCTGGGGTGTGTGGCACTGTTTTTAGGGTGTGCTGTGTCTAGGGAGTGTGCCTCTCTCTTTCACACACACACACACACACACACAGGTACACACACACACAACACGGGTACACACACACACACACACACACACACACACACACACACACACACACATCTAAGGCGCCCTTTGGCATGCGTTGAATTATAATCTGTCACGATACTATTTGGGTGGGAGGTGGGGTGGAGGTGTGAGGGTGGAGGGTGGGGGTGGAGGTGGGGAGTAGAGGTGGGTGTGGAGGGTGGGTGTGAGGGGTGGAGAATGGTGGAAGGTGGTGAGGTGGGTGGAGGTGGGTGGAGGTGGGGTGTGGAGGTGGGTGGAGGCAAGAGAGTAAGGCTTCCACTACAACAAAAGAGATAGGTTAGGTTAGGTTAGAATGCCCAATTTTAGAGGTTTTCTGTGGTTAACATCTCCATCATGCCCACAGTAATGCCCATCATGCCTAGAATTTAATTAGTGACACCTTTAATCACTACTACCTGTATGTCTATGCCTTAGGTAACCTTTGCACTCAGTACTTACTCATGAGTCTACCCTATACCCGGTGCCCAGTACCCATCCACTATCCACCAAACCACACCCTCTATCCACTCAACCACACCCAACTATCCCTCTTACCCACATAACTACCCACTAACCACTCCACCACATCCAGCTATCCCTCTTACCCACATACCCACCCACTATCCATACCACACCACACCCACCACACCCACCCAACCACACCCAGCCAACACACAGTAGGTCAGCCAGCCTTCACATTTCCATATTAAGGTACTGTACAACGTCCACCAGTTATCGTCTTATCATGCACCACTAACCGTACATGTATATATTGTGGTCACAGTATGGCCCTACTATCACCACTGTTACCACCACTATTATCACCAGCAATAACACTACTTAGTACTATCATAATCATCAACAATCATCATCTACAATTATTACCACTATTACTACCTATTAATTACTCACACCACACCACCACCTCAAGCATCTAGACTAACCTACAAGTTACTCCACCACTGTACTACTACTACTACTACTACTACTACTACTACTACTACTACTACTACTACTACTACTCTCACCTCACCTCAGGGACAACACCAGAATGTTTGTCTGATCTTTGGCGAGAATTAAGGTCCGCAATAATATTATTTTGTGGTCTTTGGGGTGTGTGTGTGTGTGTGTGTGTGTGTGTGTGTGTGTGTGTGTGTGTGTGTGTGTGTGTGTAGGTGGGAGGTAGGAACAAGTGTATATGTGGGTAAGGACAGGTGAGCGTGGGTGGGAACTAGTGTGTGTGTGGGGGTGGGAACAGGAGTAGGTATGTGTGGGTGGGAACAGGGACAGATGTGTGGGGTAGGTGTGTGGGTGGAACAAGGACAGGTGTGTGTGGGGTGGGTGTGGGTGGGTAGGAACAGGGACAGGTGGGTGGGGGAACAGGGATGATGGTGGGTGGGAACAGGTGAGGCTAATAAGGATACCTGTTGTGTGGAACTCCCGAGGTCTTGTATAATGTTAGGCCTGAGGAGACGAAGGCGGGAGGAACAATGGTGCAGGGAGGGCAATGGTGCAGGGGGGAGCAATGGGTGCAGAGGGAGGAACAGTACAGGGAGGGACAATGGTGCAGGGAGGGCAATGGTGCAGAGGAGGGGGCAATGGTGCAGAGGCAGGGGTGGTAAGGGGGGAAGAAAAGAAGGGAAAGGTGGAACCATAATTAAGGGGACTTACTGAACAGTCAATAACAACAAGCACAGAAGACTTTGTGCCTTCTGACGTAATAATCACACACACACACACACACACACACACACACACACACACACACACACACACACACACACACACACACACACACCACTTTTCCCCATATTTGAGACAGGTCCAGACTGCACAGTGTGTAAATGGCACAACACTTCATCTCTAATAGCAGATGTGCCGACCTATAAGATTGGATCCACTTTTTTTGCACTATATATAGTTCCCATGTATAGAACCAAAACACCTCTACCTCTCACGTAAATAACAAGTGTGCAGCAGACATACTACCTCCCTCCTGTACTCAAGCAGTTTGTGAATAAGTTTGCCTTGTATATAGACTAAACAAAGAATTTATTTAAATACTGTTGTAACATTCAGTGCCATAATATCTGGCCTTCAGGGTTAATTATACTGACCCTTCTGTTAACTCTACTCTGTAATCCTCTTGCCTACGCTCACAGGATTAGTAGGGGTTGCACTCAAACTAGTTGCTGTACCTTCACAAATTGTAAAACAAATCAACGCGATCAGTGAAGGGGAGAATGGTGTACAGACGGAGAGAATGATGTACAGAAGGAGAGAATGATGTATAGGAGAGAATGATGTACAGAAGGAGAGAATGATGTACAGAAGGAGAGAATGCAGAATGTGATAAACGTGGGAAGAGTGAGAAGCAGATAATCGGGTATGACAAAACAGAATGAATGAAGAGACTGATGATAAAAAGAAAAATAAGGAAGAAAATGGAAGGGAAGAACTGAAGGAACTTGAAGGGAAAATAATAACAGAAAGGAAAGACAAATGAAGAAAACAAACAAAACATAACACAAACAACAACAAAAACAACAGCATCACAAACAACAACAGTACAAACAGCATCAACAGCACCGCCTAACAGCAGTAGTACTGCGTGATGTTCCGCCTGACCCTTCCGCCGGGCAAGGTTGGTGGCAGTCTGCGTCTACACCCTCTACCTTCCCTTCATCCTACCTCCACCCTGCCCTGTATAGTCTCCTCCACCCTTCTGTACCCTCCTCAAACGCCCACCACCAGCACCATCCTGTCTCACACCCTCTTCATAGTCTCACCTTCCTGTCACCTCCCTCAAACGCCCACCCTGTACCCTCCTTCATCCTACCTCCACCCTGCCTATAGTCTCTCCACCCTTCCTGTACCCTCCCTCAAACGCCCACCCTGTAGCCCTCCCTTCTTCCTACCTCCACCCTGCCTGTATAGTCTCTCCACCCTCCCTGTACCTCCCTTTATCCACCCTCCTTACACCTAGGATCAGCTGAGCAAAGCATAACACACGCTTTTTTATTTACTGAATCCCATGCTGAGGTTACTTCTTTAACGACTATTGTTTGGTTAACAACCATCATGTCTCATTGAAGATCTGAACTTGCCAGGCGATGGTTCAAGGAAAGTCTTACCTTGCTACACAGTTAAAAGCAGTACCTAAGCTTGCTACACAGTTCAAGTAGGACCTAAGCTTGCTACACAGTTCAAGCAGGACCTAAGCTTGCTACAAGTTGAAGCTAGTACCTAAGCTTGCTACACAGTTAAAGCAGTACCCTAAGCACTACACAGTTTAGGACCTGAACTTGCTACACAATTCAAACAGGGACCTAACGCTACACAGTTCAATCAGGACCTAAAAGCATTACACAGTTAAGCAGGACCACAAGATTGCTAGAAGATGGTTCTCAAAGTCAATTTCACGCAGACTTGTTAGCTAGATTTACATACCAACCTACCCTTCAGTTGTCGCTGACCGATCAAAATGGTTGACCTTGGCATCCGGATGTGTGTGTGTGTGTGTGTGTGTGTGTGTATTTCAATAACTGCGTCAAAGATGTCCTCCTAACCTAACCTAACCTCCCTTTCCTATCCAATGACAGCTGTTGGCTCACCTCCCCTCACCACCTGTCCCCTCCCCCCCTCCCCTACTAACCATGACAGCAGTACGGCGGGGCGTCTGTCTGCACGCAGCAAATATGTTAATAAAACAATTGTACTTCCTGTTATGGAGAGTCGACTTCCTGTGTTGATTCTCTCTAACATAAACAACAACATAAACAACAACATAAACAACAACATAAACAACAAACATAAACAACAAGTGTCTCTTTATATTACTGCGTTATCTTAATATATACAAACCTTCATATTAACTTCAATATATACACAACTTCCTTTAACCATACATATAGTCACTTCAGTCCCTTCACTAAACATACACACATTCATTCAACATACACACATTCACTTCAACATACACATTCCTCTAACGCATTCGCTTCCTCCAAGGTCTCAAGGGGTAATTAAATTCTCTTAAATATACAGGTAATTGTGACAGGTAATGGTGTAGGTTGAATTAGGTTAGGTTAGGTTAGGTTAGGTTAGGTTTGGTTAGGGTTAGTTAGGTTTGGTTAGGCTTAGGTTAGGTTTGGAGATTTGTAGTGTTATGACATTATTGTTGTAGGTGAGGAATAAAGTTTCTTCTGCACACACACACACACACACACACACACACACACACACACACACCAATTATTCTCTATCTTTTCTCTCATCCTAACCTTTTCCTTTCTCCTTACAGGATCATCCCCTCCTTCCCCCCTCCTCATATTATCATTTTCCTCCCTTCACCCCTCCATCATTATCCTCCTTATTACCTGTCTATATAATCCTCCCTCTCTTACCCGTCTATTACTAACCCTTTCTGCATCCCCCTCCCCTCCCTCACCCTTCCTTTATTAACCCCTTCTACATCTCCCCTCCCCTCCCTCATCTGCCTCCCCACAGTGTTTGAGGGGTGGGGTGGGGGTGTGTGAGGGGGAGGTGAGGAGGAGGGGAAGGGTGTGTGTGGGGAATCTGGAGAAACTTTCTCTACCTCAGCCAACATTCCTTCATGACCTGGGTTCCCAGTGCCTCAGTTGTGACCTTGAGGTATCCTTCTCCCCTTTCCCCCTCATCCCCCTCTATCTCCTTCCCCTTCCATCTCCCCATCCTCTCCATTATCTCCTCTACTCTGCTTCAGACAGCACCTCCAATCCTGATCTCAAATCAATCACTCCCTCCTCTATCCCCACCTTCATCTCCCCCCTCCTCCCCCTCTCTCCTCCTCTTCCCCCCCTCCTCCTCCCCAGCATCACAGAAGGTTATGTCAAGTGCACCACATCATGCCCGTGCCCCATGAGCCCCCGCCCACCACCTATGCCTCTGTCCATGAGCCCCCGCCCACCACGCCTCGTGCCCCCATGAGCCCTGCCCACCATGCTCGTGCCCCCAGGCCCTGCCCCTGTACCCGTGCACATCCGCAAGCCCCGCCCACCATGCCTCGTACACCCCGCCCTGCCCACCATGCCTCGTGTACACCCCAGGCCCGCCCTACATGCCCGTGCACCCAAACTCCGCCCATGAATCGTGTACACCAGCCCTGCCACCATGCCCCGTGCACACCCATGAGCCCGCCCACCATGCCCGTGCACACCCCAGGCCCCCCACCATGCCCCGTGCACCCAAACTCCGCCCACCATGAATCGTGTACCCCGCGAGCCCTGCCCCACCATGCCCCGTGCACCCATGAGCCCCGCTACCATGCCCCGTGCACTACTGAGCCCACCATTGCTCGTGCACCCAAACCCCGCCCCACCGCCCTTGCCCCCACGTGTTAGGGACGCCCCCAGCCACCAGCCGCCTCCTGCTGAGCGCTGTCACTGAACCTTGACTTCTGCTGCCTCAGATCAGGAGTCTGACGGAAATTCAGCTCGTGTGCCTGTGTGAATGGTGTGTTGTCTAATCATTGCTAGACAGTCAATGATACACACACACACACACACACTGCACACACACACACACGCACGCACACACCACACACGCACGCACACACCGCACACACACGCACACACACACACACACACACACACACACACACACCAGGTATAGTTTACACCTGCTCAGTATAGCAAGGTAGGTAATGATCTAACCCCTACCTCCCTCCTCTCTCCCTCACCTTCCCTCCATTCCACCTACCATCTCTCTCTTTTTTTGTCTCTCCCTTACCACCCTCCGCTTTCCCATCCCTCTCCCCTTTTACTCCTCCCTCCTCGTCACAGGTCGTCCATCCCTTTGTTGGTAGGAAACAGGTTCTGGGGAGGTTCTCTGCCGGACGGACGGACAGACAGACAGACAGACAGACGGACGTAATGAGTGACAAGACGTGTTTACCAGTCTCATCTTGGTCACCCTTCTCCTCCACCTCCTTCAAATCCTCTTCATCCTCCTTCTCTTCCTCCTCCTCCTTCTACATCTCCTCTTTCTCTTCCTCCTCCTCCCTCTCCAGTACCTCCTCCTCTTCTTCTTCTACCCCCTCTTCCTCGACCTAAATGTCCTCCCTCCTCCTCTTCTTCCGTGTTATTTTCCTCGAGTTTCAGCCAGATTTTGGTCCAAGAATCATTTTTGGTTAGGTTAGGTTAAGTTAATCTTCAGGTAATCCCAGTTTCTTTTCCCGTGACCATAGACACTGGCCTGAAGTGACCTGACCTGACCTGACCTGACCTAACCTAACCTTAAAACACAAACAGAGGTAAAATAAAACTTATTAAGTCACATTATACTCTTAATCTAATATTGTCTGAGAAAATATTAAAACAAAATTATGAATATGCATTTTTGTAAATTATCCATACGTCTGGCAGCGCCGCGAGTTGCTGAACGAAGACGGGAAAAAGCTCATACCTCAACCCCGTGTTTTAATTTATTTTCCGTCTTGTCAAATTATCTACCTTTTTACCTGAAGTACTGTAGGAGTGAAACGCCGAGATCTACAGCAGCTAACGGGACATCATTTATCACACACGCTTACCTGCCGACAAGAAATATATCAATGTAATTCTCCGTAAGATAAATTTACTGTTCACGTGAAGATTAGAGACTACAGTTTATATTTAATTTAACTCCTGAACCTAACCTAACCTAACAACCCAACCTCTCGGTATAAATTAGTTGTTTAATCATCAGGTGTAATAAACTAGGGTGTCTAATCTTCAGGTGTTCCCAACTAAACCAAAAAAAAAAAATAAATAATAATAATAATAATAATAATAATAATAATAATAATAATAATAAATAATAACAACAACACTAACAACATGTAACATCCACCCATAATATATAATTACCTCTGTAGCATTACCCAGGCTGTATCTAAAGACCCCAAAACTAATATTACCACGAGTTCTTCTGAGGAGTGTGGGTAATATTCTGGTAATGTTGAATGAATAATACAGTCACGTCCTTTGTGGTTCAAGTCAGAAATATCACAGTTCGTGACTGAGGTGGGGAGAGGAGGAGGGTGGGGAGGGAGGAGGAGGCGAGACTCAATGTTTAAATTTGAGATCCGATTTGGGTGAAAAGCAGGAAAATGTTGAGAACAGAAATTCGTGGGATGGTTGGTGGTGGTGGTGGTGGTGGGGTGTTGGTGGTGGTGGTGATGGTGGTAGTGGTGGTGGTGGTGGTGGTGGTGTGAGTGGTGGGGGTGGTGATGGTGGGTGGTGGTGGTGGTGGTGATGATGAGTGGTGGTGGTGATGGTGGTGATGGTGTGGTGGTGGTGTGGTGGTGGTGATGGTGGGTGGTGGTGGGGTGGTGGTGGTGTGGTTGGTGGGTGGGGTTGGTGGTTGGTGATAGTGGTGAGTAGTGGTGGTGGTGATGGTGGTGGTGGTGGTGGTGGTGTGTGGTGGTGGTGTGGTGGTGGTGGTGGTGGTGGTGGTGGTGGTGGTGGTGGCGGGGTGGGTGGTGGTGATGTGGTGGTGATGGGTGGTGACATGAGGCAGACACCAACATTAGTAAACAGAATTAAAGCATATCACCAACACCAAAGTAAGAGGAGGAGGTGTGGGTGTGGGGCTGACCTCAAACCAACACTAAAATCCTTGTAATCACTATCTCAGCCACCAAGGCCACCTCGACTACCAGAGCAGAACTGAGTCAACAGTCCTGTCTGTCTGTCTGTCTATCTGTCTTATATTGGGGTTACGTCACCTGAGAGAGAGAGAGAGAGAGAGAGAGAGAGAGAGAGAGAGAGAGGTAACTCACCTGTCTGTGTACATTAATTAATGTATCATGCCAAGAATCTCAAAGGATTGTAAGGTGAATTTTCTCCGTAACTGAAGAGCCACCGAGAACACATGACAGTACTTGTGTAGTGGTGTGTGGGTGTAGGGGAGTGTGTGGGTGTAGGGGTGTAGTGGGTGTAAGGGAGTGTGGTGGGTGTAGGGGAGTGTAGTGGTGGGGGAGTGTAGGGGGTGTGTGGGAGTGTAGTGGGTGTGTGGGGTGTAGTGGTGTAGGGGTAGTGGGTGTAGTGGGGTGTGAGTGGGTGTGGGGGGTGTAGTGGGTGTGGTGGGGTGTAGTGGGTGTGGGGTAAGTGGGTGTGGGGAGTGAGTGGGTGTGTGGGAGTGTAGGGGTGTGGGGAGTGTAGTGGGTAGGGGAGTGTAGTGGGTGTGGGGAGTGTAGGGTGTGGGAGATGTGGTGGGTGTGTGTGGGGAGTGTGGGGGGTGTGGGGAGTGTAGTGGGTGGGGGAGTGTAGTGGGTGTGTGGGGATGTGGGGGTGTGAGAGTGTAGTGGGTGTGGGGAGTGTGTAGTGGGTGTGGGGAGTGTAGGGGTGTGGGGGTGTGTGGGAGGTGGGTGTGGGGGGGTGTGGTGGGTGTGGGGAGTGGTGGGTGTGGGGAGTGTGGTGGGTGTGGGGAGTAAGGTGGGTGTAGTGGTGTGGTGGGTGTGTGGGAGGTAGTGGGTGTGGGGGAGTGTAGTGGGTGTAGGGGAGTGTAGTGGGTGTAGGGGGGTGTAGTGGGAAATGTAGAGGTGTGTCGGGTGTAAGGGCAGGTGTAAGAAGCAGTGACTGAAGGTAGGAAAAAATTTGCAAGATGAAGTTCATGAGACGTGTGTGTGTGTGTGTGTGTGTGTGTGTGTGTGTGTGTGTGTGTGTGTGTGTGTGTGGGTGTGTGTGTGTCCACCATCCACAACAAGGCCTCAACATATCTATGTTTCTCACCTCTTGACCCAACACAACACAACACACCACCACCACCCCCCACCCCAACCACTAACCACCACCCCCCACCCCACCACCACCCCTACCATCGTTACAGAACACCTTTTCCTGTACTTAAGAGACAATGATAGATGACAAGAATAATAACTAATAATAAACAGAACAATAAATAAAACAACTAAATACACATCTTTCTATAACTGAGAGCTTGTCGTATCTAAATAAATAATAACTTTAAAAAAAACTAATGTATAAAAATAGGTAAAACATAACAAAACAGAGAATAAACATCACGATAATTACTAAACCTTCAAACAATAGTCATGGGGAGGGGAGGGGAGGGGGGGTAGAAGGGGAGGGGAGGGGGAGAGAGAGAGACAGGGGGTTAAATCAGGTCATATCATATTTATAGCTCACCACCAAACATCCGAATCACCATGACAACAAAATATACTAAAAAAAAACCGTACAATAGAAATATGTATTGAATCTCCTAACCAAACAGTAAATTAAAACACCTATTATAACTCAACTCAAACACATTAAACAACAACAAACAAACAAAAACAAACACAATAAAAACTCGACACCACAATAATGTCGGATTTTTCTTGTGTGGTGAAACAAAAGAAAAGAAAAATTTAATAAAACTAAGAAAATTTTTAAACACTAAATTTTTTAATCAGAGAAAAACATGACTGGAAATATAAAACACAACTCTTACGTACAGTGCAGACACGAGTAAATACATTTTATAATATTTACAAATTCATTAAAAGAATCGTAAAGCAAATTGACATCTTCATAAGGAATAAATATTATCATTCATTTAATATTTCCGTAGTGCAATATTTTCAGTCTTTGTCTTAATGTAAACAGAGATTTCTTCGTCTATACTTTTGAAATTTTTTTATTCCACCACCAAACGCCAATTAAAACATGGATTAACTTAAACAAGACATCACGTAAAACACCTCAACAACCACTAAGTCACGGTTATGATTTCGCCATCAACACAAAACAAGAATAAAGAGTTTGAAAAAAAAAAATACTCCCTCTCATTCTTGTGTGTCTATGGAACAAAAGCGACGAGTATAAACGCGTGAACCTGACGAACAAAGGAGCATCGCTAGAGACGGACGGCTGTTGTGAGGTATGAGCGATGGGATTCCACGCCTTTAAGAGGGTTCTGATCTTTTCATGACTTTAGGATTACTACGCCATCTATAATCCTTTTCACCTCCTTTATATCCTTCCATCAGGGGGTAGTGACCATAATCCTACCAGCCTGGATAAACAATACTCGCCGTATCCGTAAATGTAGAAGAGAAGAGAAGAGAAGAGAGGAGAGGAGAGGAGAGGAGAGGAGACTTAATAAAATAATGATCTCAAGCTGTCACCAAACCATAGTGGACTTGATTTATATAGAGAAGACGACTACCTCCCTGGGCTGAACAGAGATAAAACACACACACACACACACACACACACACACACACACACACACACACACACACACACACACACAGACATTCCTGATTGTGTTTACTCAGTACTGGTTAGGGGGAGTGAGTGCGTGAGTGTGAAGGCTGAGAGTGCGTGAGGTAAGTGTGTATGTTTGACAGACA